CGTCGGGGCTTCTCTCCGGCATCCGCCGTTCGCCTTACATGCGGCGCTCCGACGACAACAGCATCGCTGACAGTAGTGCCGAGGGCGGCCCCGCCGCCGCCTCTCTCGCGATGTCCGAGTCGCGGCAGAGTTCTAGCGGGCTGCGCAACATGGTAAGAAGTTGTAGGGCTTCGGGAACGGGACGAAGAGCTCCTCGGGGGAGAGGAGGGAGGATGCTCAGGGGCCCCCGACGGTGAGGAGGGGACCGTCGAGTTGGGTTTGGTCTCGCGCAATGAATCTTCTGATGCCCTAGCTGTTGGGTATTGCATTTGTTATAAGAAACGTGCTTGACGCATCGAACTTTATGCTAACTGTGCTATGGAGTCCTTGGGGTTCTCTGAGCTCGGTGGTTTTCTTGCAGAAAAAACAACTTTTCTTCCACAGTTCAACCCTGAGCTACATATATTCTCTTCTATTGGTAACTGTGCTGTTAGCCCTGCATTGCATTTTATTATATTGTAATCTGTACTATAGTCTGTCCATTCCTAATTCCCTGGAGAGCCATCCAAAAATGGAAACAACATAGGAAATTGGTACCAATGGAAATTATGAACAAGAAAAATGTAGCTGTATCAAGCATATGTACTATTATTCATATTGCACCACAATGCAATGTGTACTTCTCCAGAAGTAAATTCAGTTCAGTTCAGTGGGGCTTACTTTCAGCCAAAGTGGCTGTCAGAGCGCCAGTAGAATTGCTAAAAGCCCAGGGAGACCATCTCATACAAGCCGATTCTCCTCCCCAAGGAACCTATTACACAAGAGGTCCATAGGACATATTCCCTGGGGAAAGGAGGCGCAGGTGGGTGCCTGCTCTGTTGCACTTTTCTTTCATTTCTGTCTCTTTTGTCTTTTCTCCAGGCAGTGTGTGTGAAGGAGGTGGCTCCAGAGCTGCAAAGCTGCCAGCTACTGCCTGGTGTGCCCAGCATCATTCAGTGCAAGGCGGATGTCACCGTCTCTTTGGACCCCACTGACTGCACTAGCCCATGAGCCTTGAGCAGGTGCCCTTCCCTATAACATTTATGGAGGCACCTGGAAGCGCGACAGGCAGGCAAGAGATGGATTTACTCTCTGTGTCAAAGGCAGTTGGATTTGGGGGTGGGTGAGGAACATGATTTTATTTTTTCTGCATCTGTTAATAAATGTGTTTTAAAAGGCTCCAGTGCCCATCCATGTCTTTAAAAAAAAAAAAAAACTCAGCTCCAGGAGTCCGAAGCATCTGCAGGAAGAGTGGGTCTCAGAAAACAGAGAGGAGTTAAAGTTCACTTTGAGGCTAAAATCCTTGTGCACATTTGCCCAGTTGTAGTCTGTGGAGCTCACTTCCCAGCAAACAAATTCACAGCAGTCCGGCTGCAGGGTGCCATGCTCTGTTCTACTGGCAATCCCCCCTCCCCTGTCTCCCCCCCACACACACACACACTTGAACACAGGTAGTGGTATAATCAAAGTTTTTCCCCTGATTTGCTCACCCACTCCTTCATTCTCTGAAGCGGGAGAACAGTTTGGTGGAATTTGGCCAGAGCAGAAACTCTTCCCCCCACCCCTAAATAAACCTGTGTAATTTAAGAACAGCCCAGTAACTTCTTGCAAGGATGCAGATGTATTCTTGATTTTGAAAGAAACCTTTCTATGAAATACTTGTGAGCGGATTCTTTTCAGTGACAGAAGCAAATCAAATGGGGCATCCTGCAGGCAAAGTAAGTATTCTGCAATGAGCTTTGATTCTCCTTCTTGCTCTCATAATGGGAGAAGGAGAGGGGGGTTCACCATCTCTATCCCATGTGTCCTACAGAATACTACAGTGTTTGGCTTCTCTTTGGAAGCACAGTGGCTGAGCTTCTGATCTCTAAAAGCTCTGAAAAAGTGCCTTACATCAGCTGGACTTCTAGAGCAATCCCTTTGACTTCCCAGCTCCTTCCTAATACAGGAAGCTTACCATAGGCAAAGCTTGCTACTTTTTCACACTGTTATGATGTTATGGTGCAAACCTGGGGAACTAGAGTACATCACAAAAACAGGAATGTAAAATTTTCTCAATGTTTCATTGGGTCAAATAGGTTCCAAAGGTTCTACCAGAATGTGAAGGCAATTTAGGCTGAAATCTTGGTCATATATTAACTTAGGAGTAAGCCTTACTAGAAAGAATACAGTGAAACACTTCCTAAATAAACAGAACTTAGCAAAGTACTGTACAAATGTAGTAAGTATATTTAGTCAGTACATTTAACTGAAAATTATGATTGACTGATGATATACCATCAAGCTGGTGTCGACTCTTAGCGACAGTATCGATTTTCTCTATGACAATCTATCCCTAACCTGGTCTTTCAGGTCTTGCAATGGTGTACCCATTACCACTGTAGCTGAGTCCATCTACGTTGCTACTTGCTGGTTGTCCTCTTCTCTTTCCTTCCATCTTTCCCAACATTAGAGTCTTCTCTAGAAAGCTAGGTCTTTGCATAATGGAAAATTATAACAATCCTGGATAGATTGTAACCTTTGTTACCGTGTGCCAGTATGTTGATTCAAAAATAGGAACTGAATCCTTTACAGCATTTGGTTTTTGTTCCTCAGAAAAGTTTCAGTCAGAGGATATAGACCTTTTATACTAGGAATGCATTTCTGATGCCATACTCAGTTTCACAGCATAATGGGAAAACACTACTGCTGTTAAAAAGAATTTCCCACATTCTCATGATAGAAAAAGCTGATTATTCAAAGAAATAAATGCAAAGGTAAAAATAAATTGAAAAATACATCCTGCTTTCATCCTGTTACGATTTTGAAGTGGAAGAAAATTCATATCCCTCCTCTGCATGACTAAAATAAGAGGTATAGTGTTCACTGGATGCTCTGCAGAGTAAGAGAAAATTGCTCAGAATGGTGAAAGTAGGTTTCAGAAGAAATCTAAAAAAGTTTGAGGGGAGGGGGAATGAAAGGAACAGATAAACAAAAGTGAAATGTACATATTGTCAGATTAAATACTAAAATCTCCCCATGAGTAGCAGATGCTGGGCTTCACACAGCTGATTTTCAAAACAGACATTTTAAAGATGACTCTGAGTTAGTGAAAAATAATTCCACCAGTAAAATATAGGAATTTTAAATGTGTGAGTATAACAGTCATTCTGGTGGTGAAATATACAAAACAGAGTGATACAGAATAGACTCTCTTCCCTAGCATAGCACTAAGGGTACAAATTGCCTGTAAAATAGGTAAGGGCAGATCTCCATCTGCATTAACCCACCTCTCTCCCCCATGCAAAGAATTCTCACAAACAAGAACAGCAGTTCATGCGTGTACTCCCCTTCCTCCTTTCAGCAGAAACAGTTAAAAAAAAAAACAGGATGGAGGAATAATCAAACTGGGAAAGGAAAGGGGAAAAAAAGGGGAAAGAATTGCATGGGGATGAGAGGCAGGTGTTGGGCAGAAGAAAACAGAGACTCTCTAAGCAGCAGTTCAGTCTTTCAGCCAGGTTTCAAAGGCATCTAATGTTTTTATGCACCTCAATGCAGCTCAGTGCTTTTCTCTTCAGTAGCTTCTTTTATAATGAGCAGCAAATATAAGATGACCTCTGTCCCCCAACCAATTCACTAAAACCTTCCTTTTCTCACCTGGCAAACATGATACTTTCAGAAAGATGCCCAATGACGCTAAGAAGACAATCCTGTCCCAAAGAAATACCCCCTCATTTGGCACCTCAGGCACTGTACTATTATCCCCCAACTGGATTCAGTACAACTGCCATCAACTGTGGTAGTGGAGTCTGCCAAGACTCTGGTAGCAGAGAGATTATGGGAATCAGAATCCAACACAAGAGGATCAGCTTAAGGAAGGGAAGGCTACATGATGGTCCAAGGAAAGAGACACAAAAATATTACAGTTGAGGTGATGAGAACAACCTCACTTCCATGAGAACCATTAAGAGACACACAAGATAATATTGAGCGGAATATGGTTTGCTTTGAACCCATCTTTCACGGGACTGGTTCTGATTAAAGGACCTTGTCCTGTTTGATTACTTTGATAATAACTCATCCAGGCTTTATACATGATGTAAAGATATCCCCAGGTTTACCTGGGACTCAGCAGAGTTCTCAGTCAACCACAGCTACCTGTATGGGAGATGCATTTGCAATTTTCACAGTCACTGGGCAGTTCCACATTCTGTGGGGCAAGTGCAGCTGCTCCACATACACCAGGTTTTGTGTAGCAAATCTGTAAAGTGTGGTTAATACAACCATAGTTTTAAACACTACAGTAACACGAATAAGCAACTTTTCAGTTGATTGTTAAAGGTATCCACATTATAAATGTGTTCGTTGTGGAAGGTACACATAGGTAGTGTTTGCCATATAAAGTGGGGCTGTCTGAACTTAAAATAGTTAGGTTCATGTACAGCCCCCCCTTCAAAATTACAGACACATAAAATAGATGATCTGATTTAATCATCATCATCATCATCACCATGTGTTGAAATAAACTATTTAGTAAGAAGGATAAATTCTACAGCTTAAGGAATGCTGTCAAGCAGAACTAGTAGTATCTGCAGAATAATTAGAAGTGACAAGAGCTGCTCAGAGAAGAAGCATTGCCAGGAATGGAGGTCAACAAGAAGATGAGAAAACCAACGGGCTTTTTCCCCAACATTTCAAAAGGAATACCCAGTAGTTACCTATAGTTGCTTTTGAATGGAATAGAGTGCAAGGACTAGTGAGAGATAGAAATTAAATTGCTGTAATGGTAAAGCAATTGCTTAAATACAGTGAAGAAATTCTAAGAAAAATCTAAGTAAAAGCAGTGATCTAAGCTTCTAGCCCAGGAGTTAATCTGGTTTCTCTGGGGAGATGGGATCTTTTTCTGTATTTTAAAGCAATGAATTTGTTTAATGACAAGGGAAATGCTGGACTGAAAGTGGAGCTTTCCAAGGAAGAGTTCAAGAGTCTATTTTGCAAATGAAAAGGAAGTCTAGGTCTAAGTTTAAAAGAAAGATTATAGAAAGTTATAGTCCTTTATATACAGTGTATGCTTTTAGGATGCTAGAGATACTCCCCATTGTTACAGACAGAAAAGAAATCAAGGTCCATGTTATAACTTTGTTTATGTATCATTCTGTTATCCAAGGGTATATTTCCCTTTGCTATCCAACTATCGACTATAACACTTAGGAAAAAAATAGGATATGTAGTACCAATGTGCTGACTAGTACCAAGAAGAAGATATTAATTAGGGACATGTTACTTCTGTGTCTTTGATAATTCCTCTTGATGAGTCTTGAATGGCTCCTCAGAAGTAAAATAGGATCCCAAAAAGAGATTAATTATGTTCATCCTGAAAAGAGTCCTGAATGATTCCTAGAAAAAAACAAATAGAAGCATATTCATACTAGCTATATAAAGTAAAAAGTTGTACGAATGATGCTAGAGATGGGTAAGAGAATGCAGTTCTTTTTCTGCCTCAGTCTATTCATAAACCTGTCTCTGCAGACCCTGGAGCTTAATATACAAAGGTAGGTGAAGTTTATCAATAATGTACCACTGTCCCAAGAAGTAAAAACTTTACAAAATAGTTGTAAGAACTCAATATCATCCTGGAAGAAGGCAATGGCAAATCATTTATGTAATGCTGCCAAAAAACCTAAAGGGGTGCAATTACTAGAATTTGAGCTCAGCTTAAGGATCTCTCTTTCTCTCTCTTTCAAGTGACTTTATAGAGAGCAAAAGTTGCCCCCCAAGACAGTTACCATTGTGTAAGTTCCTTCTAACCCAAACCAGATCTTAATATCTTGATGTCACTTATCATTTATGTTTAGAGAGAGCTGAATCAAATTCATAAGAAGAAGCTTCACATTATACTGGTTTTCATTTTGATCTTTTTTTTTTCTATCAAATTTGTTTTGCAAGAGCTTAATCTTACCAAAGCTCACTTAACCTTTTCTTTGTGCTCACCTAAAATAACCCTCTATGCTTGAGATTAAATTCTTATGAGTTATCCCCCTAGGTAGACATCCATCTGAAACAGCAGAGGTAGGTTCTCATAACAACACTGATTTAGATCATTGCATCAAGATCAGTATCTAGGATCTAGATCAATGGATCTATTTCTATAATTTTCAAGAGACTTTTTTACAATTGTATCACATTTGCTT